AAAAAACACTGGTCCAATACTATCACAGGAACTAATAGAAAATGAAGACTGTAGATAAATGTAGTATATTAGCACGGTTTATTTTACTGGTGTAATAAGAACACATAGGCACTTTTTAATTTGTCTGCTGCTTTCTCTGAATTTGGCTGTCTAGAGAGCTGTCTATGCTTCTAGTTCTTTTTTCAGAAAAGCTTCTCTTCCTGGGACACACTTAAACAGCTGCCTGTTTGTGATAACTTTTGGCTGTGTGAGGTTGACTCCTATGAATATCCCCAGACCCGTGATAATGGCAATGGCAAAAATCACGCAAATCCAAAATCCAGGGATTTCAAAGAGACTCATCAGCCCATTCTTTTTCAGCACTGCATATGAGCCTTCTTTATCTTTTTCATCTTCCTTGGGCACATCTTGGTCCAGTATAAATACTTCATTTGCAGGTATTTTTTCTTTTTGTTCTTCAGCTGACTTTTTTTCCATTAGGGCCTCTTCTGCAGCCTTTTTAATCCATCTGAAGATATACCGCAGCATTCCTGAATTAAACAGAAGAACAACAATCAGCGCTCCCTGCAGTACCAATAGCCCAGACACGCTGCTCATTGCTCTGTTTATCCATCCGCTCCAGAAGAACAGAGCAATGTTTGCCGCTGCCACTACTACTATGATCGATATGTCGAGATAATTTATGTTTAGATTTTCATCTTTTATCCACGCGATAAACATCAAGCTGTAGACGAAGATCAGAATGTAGATAAGCCAGTTCAGCATCCACATAGATAGAACAGCTGCAGCTATCAGAGTGAGCAGAACATATATTGCTGTGTCTTTAATGCTCTTAACAAAAAAGTATCTGACAGCACAAGCCACCGCAAGACAGGCAAGTATTTTTCCGTACAGCATGTAAAACAAAACCATTCCCAGCTCTCCCAATAAAAACGAGAAAACAAAAAACAGGCCGTTTCCCAGTGTCTCGTCGCAGTTAAAAAACTTATCTATGCTATTTATGGCCTTTGAGACAGTTCCCCAGAGATTGAAATAGTCGTTTATCTTTTTTTTAATGACTTCATCAAAAGAAAGAGGCTTTTTCTCTGAGTCCGCCGGCTGATCTGCCTCTTTTTTTGGCTCAATAAGAATGCCCGCGCCTTCAAAGGTTTTAGATGCAGTTTCAACTACACTATATGTGTATCCAAAAGCACTGGTCATCTGTGAAAGTAATTGTCCTTGTGCGCAGAGCTGTGTTTTTCTACTTCCATCTGTTTTGGTTGTATTAAAACTGAATGGATTACTAGAAGTAGTAGTATCTGGTTGTGCGCTGTTGGCATTTTCTGGTGCAACGCTAGAAGGCCTGAAAATCTCCGAATATGCATCTTCATCCAGTACAACATCTTTTAGCGAATTTTCTAAAGTATCAACAGAATGGCGCTCGCTCTGGCCACTTCTACTTTCCAGGCTGTTATTTCCTGCTTCCATTATATGGTAATAAAATTTTTACATCCATCTCTTATATTGTAAAAGATTTCACTAGATATTTAATGTGCCTACTGCACACCCTCTAATAACTGCGTGTGAGCACTCTCTTCGTGCTATACTCTTGCACTCCCAATTATTCATCTTCTTCGCCAACTAGTAAAACTTTTATACTCACAGGATCATGGCTTTTGTCTGCATATCTATTTGTAACTAATTTGATTTGTCTTTATTTTTTTGCATTGCGCAGCCCTTGCTTGGCCATTGCTATCTGTTTGCGTGTTTCTCTATCGGATACCTTCTCTATTGCATTCAGCAGGTTGTTTCCTCCCTTTGTCTTGCATATTCCTATGAACTCTTTCGTCATTGTGCTCGTGAGCAGCTTGGCCACTGCGGCATCCAGGTTGCTATCCAGGAGAGCGATCAGCACCTCCTGTCCTATCTTGTTGAACAGCCAGTATCTCTCGTACAGCCCCATGCACTGCATCTGAAGGGTCTTCTGGTACTTTGTCTTCATTTTCAGCAGTTTAACGGCTAGTTTGTACGATTTTGAGTCAAATCCTCCTGTTTCGTGGAATAGAAGCGTGCTCATAATGGCGTCTTTCTTGAACACTCTCTCCATTGCGCTTTCCACCACTGACACTTTGTTCTCTGCTGCTGCCCTCATGAGAAGCACGTGGACTATGTTGCTGTTTGCTGGAAATGTGTGTATGTGCTCTTCTATGATTCTGTAAATCTCTTCCGGTGCGTATACAGAGATAAAACTTTGCATGAAGTAGTTTCCCACTTTGTCTTTGCACAGATCAGGTATATCTGCCTTTATTCTCTCGAATATCTCGCACAGCTGTGCAGTGCTTGCCAGCTTGCACACTTTCTCGTACAGGAAGGCCTGGAAGCCCGTGACCATTTGCGTGTCCATTATTTTCACCAAGTACTCTGTTATTCTTTCTTTTTCTTTTGTGTCTGCCTGGTCTACATACTCAGAGTACGTTGCTACTCTTGTGGTGTCTTCAATGAAATAGTCAATCGGTGTTTCCCTTATCTCTTCTTTCAGCCCGTCTGTGCTGTAGCCTATTCTCAGCATGGCTCTTATTATGTGGTTGGTTCCTTTGCTTTTGAAGGCCTTTGAAGGGTTACTTAACACAGCTGTTTCAATGCTCTTTAGCAGTGCTTTGTAGCTCTCTGTGAGTGTCTTCTGCTCTTCTATCTTTTTTAGTATGGACTCTATCGCATACGTTGTGCTTCTGTGGTAAATATCCGTTATTTCTATTTTTGATACGAGGCCTGAGAGACTCTCCACTGATAAGTGCTTTATGAACTGCTCCAGCTTCCTTGCCAGACTGCTCACTTGTATTATCTTATTCACTTCGCTCTGTGCCATCTGCACCACCTTTTCGGAGACCTCCTGTTTCTCCTCCTCTGTCATTCCCTCCATCTCTGATACATCTACTCTCTTAAAATACTCCATTCAGTTGCACAAGAAAAATTATACTCTTTTTTTCATTTTCACTTTTATTTTTATTTTTATTTCCATTGCACATTCTTTCTTTTTTGCTCCCATCCATCCTCTTAAAACACCATCAGTAGCCCAATGATCACTCGCTGCCGCTGCCCGCTGTGTACACTGCACAGCTGGCGCTCGGTACTCTCTGGCTGTTCTTCATACATTTGATGTTTCTTAATATAAACACTATGCGTTCGATATTCTCGATGGAATGATCCTTGGGTTCTCTTTTTCGAGCCTCAGCATGTTCTCTGTTCTGTAGTCGTAGGAGCATCTGTGCTCGTCTGAGTATCTGTGCTTCGCACAAAAGACTCTTCTGCACTTACACCCGAATGTGTTGGTTATTCTTAGCTTTGCTCTGCAGTATGAGCACTCGGACGGCCTTGCGCCTCCTTTTGAAACGTCCTGCTTCTTTATATTTTCGTCTGTTTCGATTTTTCTCTTTCTTGTTTGCAGTTTGTCCATGAATAAAAAAACGAATTATTGTTTGGATATTTATGTTTCTTTGGCGTGAGGTCTTCCTGACCGTGTGGAAGGTCGTCAAGAGAGTGGGGCTGATTATTTGCACTATATACCTCTTCTTCTCCTTTAACACTTTATACTCCATACAAATGCTCACTCGTCTTTCCATCCCTATTATTGTGCTGTTTATTGTATATCAGATTCTCATTCTTCTTGTGGGCTTCTCTTTCCTCAGGATGTCTATATCGAAGAACTGCACAACCCTTGAGCTCTTCCCAGAAACCGATGAAACCGAAGACTCTGATGACAGCAGTCTTCATCTCAACCCCTTTGAAAAGGAGCACATATTTGCATACAAACACGAGATGAACATATGCGAGATATGCAACACTTCGCAGCCCATGCGCAGCTACCACTGCAGCGCGTGCAACAGATGCCTGCTGCTTATGTTCAAGCACCTTACATGGTGCGATCTGTGCGTGGGATTCACCAACTACAAATTCTACATTGTTTTTTTGTTTTACTTGGTGATTCTTTCTGGCCTGGGACTTGGCTGCTTCATTGATGCAATTATCAACAACTCTCTTGTTGACTACTCGAATGCTCCCCTGTACGTGTCCATTGTTCTGCAGGCTCTTGGCTTGGTTTTTGTGCTGTACTACTTCGTAGAAGGAGTGTACTCCGTGTGCATCAACCAAACACCGCAGGAAAGAAAGCATCCGATGGAAAACACGAATATATCGTACGACATGGGGTACTACCAGAACTGGAAAATGATCATGGGCGAGTCCTGGTACACGTGGTTTATGCCCAGCTGGACAACCGAGGGAGACGGGCTGAAGTTCCAGCACACGCGAAAAACAGGCCCAGAGGTGTACGAAAGCACTGCACTGACAGTGTCCACCGAGTAGGATCTATCGCGCACTTCACCACATACCGATCTGCATCTTTTAAAATCTTTGAAAATTTTGATATCAATAAATCTGTATTTTATTCTTACTTTCTATGGTTAATTATCGACTCGATTTCTTTCTTTTTTCTCTCCGAAATGTTGAACACATCGAGGGCGCTTGTCTCAAGCATGGTCTTGTACGGACATGTGTGCTGCGGCATCTCTTGCCCTGGCCTGTAGTACGAATGGCTCTGCAGCTCGCTGATGTTTATGCTGTCGTATACGATCTGCGGGTGAGAGTATTTATACTCTGCCCTGAAGCCTGCAGGCACCTCTCTGCATAGATAAATAACGGTTTCATCTGCTGTATCGGCTATTTCACCGCCTCCTGCATAAATTAGCATTTTGAGAGAGTGCGTAAGCGTGTCATTGCTTTTGCATATGTAGAATGCAAGGCCTCGGAATATTCCCTGCGACTGGCCCTGCTGCGAGAGCGCTCTTATCTCTTTTGGAATGCTGTTTATCATTTCCAGAATGTCCATGTTTCCAAAAGACCCGTCTTCAGCCTCTTGTGTGTATTCTTCTCTTGTGTCGTCCTCTGTCTTGAGCGACTTTCCCGTGAATACTTCTTTCTCCTCGCTTCTGCCTCTTTTCTTCTTTTTTATCTTTTTTTTGTTTTTGTCTTCATTTCTGTAGTTGTCAAAATCGTGGTTATTGTTTCTTTCATTTTCCTCCTCGTCTGACTCGCTTTCTGTGCTTTCTTCGCTCTCTTTTTCTTGCAGAGGAACATACTCAAGCACATCTGTGTTCTTATTTCTGAACTCTCTTATGTAGCTGACAAAGTGCGGATGGCCTATTTCTTTGAACAGTCTGAAGTTCACTTTTTCCAGCAGATATGTATTGAACTCTGCATTTTGCACTATAATGTTGTAGTTGATCCCCAGGGTGTCCTCTGCATCGGCCAAGGGATACGCCTCCTTCCAGAACACTTCGTATCCGCTGATCTCTGTGCTGTAAAATATTCCTTCTTTTGCGAGGAATGTTTTTTGGACGTTTTTGGTAAGCGCGAGATAGAGGTAGAACAGAGATAGCTCCCTCTGCACCTTCATCTTAAAGTCGGATTCGAATCGGACGCAGAACTTGTGTTTTTTTCGTATCAGTCTCTCTGTTATTATTATCGCAGTGAGTGCCTCTCCCAGGTCTTCAAAGATGTCTTCAAATGAGGGATACTTCTCCAGCAAAATTTTCCCATAGTCAATTCGCTCATCTTTCAAATACTCTGCCTTGTACTCTCTGCCCGTGCTTTTGTAGCTTATTCTTTTTTCTGCGTTTTCCTCTTTTAGCTTATTTTTCTTGTACGGCTCTGACTCTCTTATTCTGTGGATGTCTGCTATTCTGTACTGTATTCTCGTGCTTCTGTTCGTAAGCATGTCTTTGTGCGGTATGAAAGGATGCGTGTCTGTGAGCACGCAGTATCTGTCAAACTCTTCCGACTTAACCCCCAGACAGATCAGTGCTTCGTCTCGGGTTACGTGTGTTCTTCTTTTAATTACATTTGTGTACCATCGGCCCATTTCGTTAATAAAATTTGCAATATTTTCGCACTCTGTCATATAGCCCAAGAATTCGCTAGTTCAACCGAATAAAATCATGCGCTAGCCAGCATACGCTCTATCTATGCTGCGCCTATCTTCTGCACTTTCTTTCACATACTATCAATGGCTAGCACAAAATAAATAAGCGCATGGAAGAAAAGGAGAACTTACTCACACTTCTAGCCCATAGCACGCAGTCACAGATATAGGCTCATTACATCCACCAAACTATTATGCATACAGCCTAAGAACACGCATGCCCAAACACTGTCCTATCTGTCTATTTTGTACAACTACTACTCTCTGCCAATAATCTACTATGCACGTCTCTAGCTATATTAATCGCACCCATTAGACAGTATAATACAAACTAAGAACAACAATAAACGCACTGTTCATCAGAGAGTATGCGAACAACACAGATCCACACTGAACACATCTCTTACCTTTCCCAGCTATCTGCTCTTTTTCTTTGCAGACTATTCACGTGCATGCATCCTCCAGCAATAATTCTCAGTAATAATCACAATAAATATTTGAACATCTTTATTATTTGTGTCTCTTTTTCTTTTTATTGCACCATGAGGAAGATTTCTTACTTCTACGATCAAGAGATTGGCAACTACAAGTACGCCCCAGGCCACCCCATGAAGCCCCACAGAATCAGACTCACGCACTCGCTTATCATGAACTATTCAGTGTTCAAGCGCCTCAACGTGTACTCTCCCATTCCTGCGTCTTTTGATGATCTGACTCGCTTCCACTCGGATGACTACGTGCAGTTCTTGCAGGAGATAAAGAAAGAGAACGCAGACACAAAGGAAAAAGAGCTGGCCAAATACAACATGATAGAAGACTGTCCTGTATTCGAGGGAGTCTACGAGTACTGCCAAACCACCGCAGGAGGATCTATCCAGGGTGCCACACATCTGAACGAGGGAATATGCGATGTCGCGATTAACTGGGCAGGAGGCCTGCACCACGCCAAAAGAAGAGAGGCCTCGGGGTTTTGCTACGTGAATGATATTGTCCTGGGCATACTGGAGCTCCTCAGATACAACGAGAGAGTGATGTACATTGACATAGACGTGCACCACGGGGACGGGGTGGAGGAGGCGTTCTACTGCAGTGACAGAGTCATGACTATTTCCTTCCACATGCACGGCGAGTTCTTCCCCGGGACAGGGGCAGTATCTGACGTGGGCATAGAAAAGGGCAGAGGATACAGCATAAATGTGCCTTTGAATTCAGGCATCGATGATATGACGTACTTATCGATCTTTAAGCCTGTGGTTGGCTCTGCAGTGGAGAAGTATCGGCCAAATGTGATAGTGCTGCAGTGCGGTGCTGATTCCCTCGCTGGAGACAGGCTGGGGTGCTTCAACCTAACGCACAAGGGACACGCAGGGTGTGTGGAGTTCGTTAAGTCTCTGAACATCCCCCTCATGATCCTTGGGGGAGGAGGATACACTATCTCCAACGTAAGCAGAGTGTGGGCGTACGAGACTGCAGTGCTCGCAGATGTTGATGTGGCTGCGGAGATACCGTACACCGAGTACTTCGATCACTACCACCCGAACTACACGCTCGAAGTGCTTCCCATGACCATGGACAACCAAAACACGAAGAAGTACATAGAAAGAATCCAGGAGGAGGTGCTGGAGAACATTCGAGAGATGGGCGGAAGGCCATCGGTGCAGAATTTGCAGACAATGAAGTCTCTTATGACGGAAACTGCGGATGAAACAAATGAAGAAATGTGGAGCAGATTGAAAGAGAGAAGGATATTCAAAGAAAAAGATGCAGATAACTCAGACAACTTCATTGAGTATTCTTTCGAAGACGAGACCATTCGGTCTTCCTAGGCTGTTTAAATATAAGGTGATTTCAATCTGTTTATTTGTCTTAATTTTATTTTACTTTCAAAATCAAAGAGTGTGATACGAATAGTTTATTATCAAAGACTGGTCTACACCAGGAGAACGCTGAGGTCGTTCACCAGCTCTTCAGCCTGTGCAATGTCCCCTATAAGAAACTCGCCTGGGGAAAAAGACAGCATTTCTCCGTCTATTGCTATATCTTGTATCGTGTCTAGTACGTATATTCCATGGACCTCTGTGCTGTTTTTTTCTTTGTGTCTTTCTGGGATGTCTTTTAGCGGGGTGTAGATCTTTTCTTCTTTGTTTATGAGGATGTACGCGGTGTAGTACTCTTTTTCTTTTTCCGAGAGAAGCTGCTCATTTTTTATGTAGAAGTTGTTTCTTATCTTCTCGAGGCGAAGTAGGAGATACTCTGTTAGCATCCACTCCAGCCTGTCTATTTCTATCTTGTATATGTGCTCTTTTATTCTGTTTTTATTTTCTTCTTCCTGCTGTCTTGTTTTCTGTCTCTGCAGGAGAAACTGCACTCTCTCCACCAGGTCCTCATCGTATGGAAGGAGTCTTTTTGCTTCTCTTTCATTTAAGTATCGCATCGTGAGATACTCCACAACAGAGAGTCTTTCCATTGTAAAATTATTTTAAGCAAAATCCAGAAATAATCCCACAAAACTAAAAGCACAGCACGCTGAGACTTTAATTGCAGTTTCTCCACAGCTGGAAGACACTCTTTCACTTGGTGTAGAGTGCGCCATTATATGCTGTGCTGTTTTTCACCAACTAATTATCATCTCAATGCCAAATTATTATCGCTTCATCTACTCTGCCACACTCCCATATCAAAACCTGATGCAGTAAAATTTAAAAAAGCAATCTTTCTTAAACAATCTTACATGAAAATTTTAAATAAAAACGTACCTGAATGCCTGTCAGCATATCTGCACTTCTATCACCTCACAAGGCCAACTGGGCGCTAAAATGATCCGCCTGCAATGTCGTACAGCGGATTGATTGGCCTCTTGCACAGCGGACACACATCGTCTATGCCAAACCACTCGTCTATGCAGGTCATGTGGAAATGGTGTCTGCACGGCAGCTTTCTTATCTGCTCCTTTTCTGCATACGGCGCCAGACAGATCGTGCACTGCGCGTCTTCCTCTTTTATCTTTCCTCCGAGCGTGTATTCTATCACGGGAAGAGTTGGTCGCACATAATTCAGCAGAAGAAGTATCAAAATAACAGAGAATATCGGAGCCAGCACCACTGCAATCCCGTAGAACACCCAAATGCGCGTGAGGTTGTAGAGGATGGGAATGTCCTCTTTTGACGAGTGGTACTGCTGCAGCCACTTGAATCCTATGAAGTACAGGAAAAGCGTAAGAATGTCGAGGAGATTGTTGAAAAGCGTGGACTCTGCGCCCTGTGTGAACTCGAGAGGCCTTCTATTCAGAATGTATCCCCAGTGCCGCACAACGAATGAAGACGTGTGGGCTGCGGTGAGGAAAGTGTACACAATGATGAAGAGCCTGAACGGGCTCTGCGTTGGGTTGTTCTGCGTGAGAAGGAGCGCAACCACGTTTATCCCTATTTGGAAAAGCTTAAACAAAATCGAAAGAATGGAAAGAATGCGGACAAAAGATGTCTGCGTTACGCCGTCAATTAGCTGCCTGACTCGGTATGCTCTGAAGTCTGGAGTAGCCAACGGGCTATCCACGACAAGTACCAGCGGCGGTGCTCTTGTGTTTTCTTCCATAGGCTGTTGCATTTCTTGGAATTCTGTGGAAATGGTTTCAAAGCATCTTTCTATGGCCCCTTCCATGCACCAATCAGAAAATGATCGCAGAGAGCCCAATGAAATAAAATATTTGCACTAGCTATGGGCTAATACTGAGCAATCAATGGCGATCCAAGATGAATTGCCAATAATGATCAAAAGCAGCGAGAAGAGCAATATGCGGCAATCAGGATACAGCACATTCCAATCAGCAGTGCACACTTTCTTCTCCATCTTTAATCGTTGAGAGTGTATCAAAGTGCAGATGTTTTTGTGTTAGTTTGGACATATTCAGCAATAGTTTGTAAAAGCAGTAAAAATAATAAACAAAGTGTCTCTGGAGAGTATGGAATGGTAAATTTTTTATAATATTTCTTGTATTTTATTTTAGCAGAAAGTGTTCAACTCCACTGTATATTGTGTTTTGATGGCAGCTAGTCTTTTTGTTGTCTTTTTCTGCTATCTCTCTGTTTCCATTCTTCTTCTTTTCAGCGATCTTTCCATCTTCCTTTTCTCGTCTTCGTCTTGGAAGGGAGCAAACTTCTTCAGCGGGTACTGTCTCTTAAGTGTTTTGTCGTCTGCTAGCAGAATATCTTTCACCGATAGCCCGAGGTCCACTGTGGGAACTTTCACGTACTCAAAAGTTCCCTGCTTCTTTAGAGATCCGTACTCTTCCCCTATTTCTCTTATCTCTGAGAGAATCTTTTTGATTTCTTTTACGGTCTCTCTGTCATGCTGCAGCTCTCCCTTCTCGGCGAGCTGTTCTAGCTGTTTTAGCTCCTGCGCCTCCATCTCTGATCCCTTTATCTTTGGCCGTTTTTCTTCTTTTTCGCTGAAGTATTCTTCTCCAAAGAGGTCTTCCAGTATTTTGTCCAGCTCTCTTCTGTCATAGCTGTCTTCCAGTCTTATCTTTGACACCTTTCTTTTGCTGAGCCCTGAAACACTTCTCAAAATGCTCAATCTGTCTGCAAACTGCTGTTTCTTCAGGTTTTTAAGTCTTTTTATTTCCTCCTGTTTTATTTTTTCTTCTTCTCGGTTTCTCATTTTTTTCCTCAGCTCTTTTCTCTTTCTCTGCTGTGTTGGCTTCTTCACTGTGCTGTACTTTCCTCCCGTGGCAGGCATGCCTTCTTTGTCAAACTCTTCTATCATTTCTATCTCCTCGCTGTCTTCTTCCAGGAACAGCTCGGTGTCCTCTTTTTCTTTTTTTTCCAGCTCTTTTTGCCATCCTCCTTTCAGCACGTATTCTGTTAGGAACTCGTCTGTGTCTTCTTCTCCTCCCTCTTCCTTGGGCTTCTTTTGGAAGAGCTCGTCGTCTACCTCTACTTCATCCATGGCAGCTATGAACGCATCGATGTTTTGTTTCTGCTCTGTGTCATACTGCACTCTTTTTTTTACTCTTTCCTTCTTTCTGTCTCCTTCCCGTGTGGTTTCCTCTTTTTCTTCTCTGCTTTCTTCTTCTGTGTTCTCATTTTCTTCCATTTTATCCAGAACAGCGTCTCTGTAGTAGTCCTTCAGTCTGTACGATCTTTCTTTTTCTCTTTCTTTTATCTGTGCGGTGCCTGCTGTTTTGTGGCTCTGCTTGATCTCTTCAAATATCTGCCTCTCTTTATCGTATATTTCTGGCTCTTTGTTTCTTATCTTCTCTATTAGCTTCTGCACTGCCACGTTTTCCTCTTCGCTTTCTTCGTAGGATGCGTCGTCTTCTGTCTCTTCTTGCGACAGCTCGTCTTTGTATTTACTTTCCAGCTCTTTTATTTCCTCTGCTCTTTTTTTGGCCTCGTATTTCTTTTGCTGTCTTGAATCTATTTTGAACGGATTTTCGTTGTTCTGCTGCATGGCCTGTGGTCTGAAAATTTTTATCGAGTCCTCATAAATACCATGCACACTGTCCCACTGCACTCTTAGCCAATACTCTGCCCGTGTATCTCACTGCAGAATCAAACACCACTAATACTCCCGCTATCTTTCGGTCTTTCATGTGTTTCTGACACTCTTGCACAGCATTATCTCTAATAACAGAGAAAGCACCAAAAGATCCACAGGATAAAGAAAAACAAGCTCTACATTAAAAGAGAATGTACAACTTAGAGACTAGTTCCATAAAAGTAAAATCAAACTGTTATTTATTGGCAGACATCTACTAAATACTATAGCAATATTTACAGGATCATTTATGCATGGCTACATTCTATTTTTATGAGCTTATTCAAGATAAAACGCATTATTTGCAGAGTAGTATAAAACATAAGAGGCTGGTGATAACCTATCATTATGGACCTGGATTATATTGATAACACCTACAAAACTATTTACATACAATAATAGCTTCCTAGATGCTACCAATATGATACGAGCCCATAATAATAAGTTATCGCCAGCCTCTTACGTTCCTTCTTCTTTCTCTGCTTCTATTTATACTTTTGTTTTTCCAGATATTTCCACATATCAATCATCTTTCTGCTCCATCAACACTTCTCTGATCATTTTCTATAGTTGATTAAAAAATGCTCTAAAATAGTCAAGGCCTGCCTTGCACTTCTAAACTAAAGTGATCTCAGCTAAAAAGTATCGCATAAAACAAGCCAGAACAACCAATAATTCTCCTATAATCAAGTACATACAAAAAACAGCACTAAGTGTGTTACTCGTACTCTACTAGAAAGCATTATTCTGTAGAGTCAAATAAAGCACTCTGTCTAGAAAATTTATATATTGACTATATCAAACCATTGAGAATTCTGTCCAATTCTATGCACAATTGCTAAAGAGCTACTTGAGTTTAAGAAGTACAAGACAGGCTTTGACTGTAAATTATCTCTTATCTGCTTCTATTTATATTTTTAATCTTCCAGAAATTTCCATATATCAATTACTCTTATGTTCTTGTCAATGTGATTCTTATTAAGTGCGATAATATGAATTTACTAGTATTCCAAGAATAAATAAAAGTGAAAATAAAAATAAAAAGTACAGGACAATTCGAGTATAGTAAGCTGTTTTTATTTTAAAATTGTAAGCATTGTGTGATATCGTAGAATAGTGGCAACTAAGCAGGTGATAAACGTGCTCATATGGCTATTAGTATTGGAAGGAGGATTGCGAATAGGCACAGGCCTATGAACAGAGAGTCTGATCTTTCCTTTAGTTTACATATTGATGCTTCTTTACCCTCACACGATGACACATCTGTTGGAGACACTCCATTGGAGAGTTGCGAGAGAGTTTGTCTTCTTTTTATGTTGCTGTTGTTTGTGGTGGCTGTTAAAAGGACGCTTATCTGTGACAGCTTCTTGAATGTGTCTGTCCATTGGTTGCTTCTTATTTTTCTATCAAGCGATTTTATGTTGTTCAAACTGCTATTCATGCTATCCGCTGCTGCATATATCGCACTCTGATTTATCATATTTCTGTGCGGATTTGTGGAGACAAGATTGTTGAAGTCTTTTCTGACTTGGAAGAGTCTGTCCAGCTGTGCCGATATGGTTTGGATGTCTTCTGCTGTGTTGCTGGTTAGCACGATGTTGATCTGTCTCTGCAAATGGTCTGTAGATCTTTTGATCGACTCTTTGAGGACCATTTCAGGCATATCTATTATTCCAGAAAGCGTTTTAACATTCTCCTGTGCCTGAAACATTTGCGACTCGCACTTCAGGCCATTTGCGCATATCGACGCAAGCGCTGTTGAGTTCACCAGCGCAATAAATCCCAAAATCAAGCTGAAAATAAGAGAAACACACATACCCGTGTAGAACACAAAGTACAGCCATTTTCTGTCAAGCACAATTGCAATAATCACACCTAGCACAAGGAACACCTGAATAAATATCAGAACTTCTGTAGTGATAAGGGCGTAGTTTAGGGAGTTGAAGAAAGGATTACCGCTGTTGTATCCGGAAGAGTAAGAGCCATTTTGCGCAATGATATTATTTGGCAAATTTGCGTTGCTTTTGACCATCTCATGAACTGCGTCGTCGACTGACAAAGCTCTTTTGTCAAATCGATCGCTGGAGCTGTCCTCCAAAGACTCCACTGCTCCTGACGTAATAACCAGGCCTCGTGCCGGATGGTTTCCTTCTTTTTCTGTGACTATTGTTTTTTTTATTCTTCGCGTCTTTACTTTGAACATTTCCGGTACCACTACGCGCACATTGCTGATACTCACACAGACAGAGTCGTTGGCCATTCGGAGCTGTGTTGTTTTTCTGCTTGTTCCTGCAAATATGCTCTCGTATTTATTCACAAGAGAGAGTATACCCTGCTCTATCGTGTTGAAGTCTACTCCTATGGTGCTGAGCTCTTCTCTGGCGAAATAAGACACTTTGTTAAAGTTTTTGAACCCATTCATTAAGTCCACAGAGTATTCTCTGTACTGGTTTTTGCTCACATCAATGCTTCGCTCAATGTCCTGGTACTCTCTGTTCACCTTGTCGATGTACTGCAGGTCTGCCTTTGCTTCGTTGAACTCGTTTTCCTCAAGCACCAAACAGTTTGTGCAATTTTTTTGATTTTCATTTTGATTGTTTTTGAAGATGCAATACTCTGTTTTCATCGGCTGCAGGGCACTGCCACCGCCCATGCTAACACTGCCCATGTTACTGGAGCCATTCACAAAAGAAGGGGACACCATTGATGTGTCTATAGGCGGTCTTTTTTTCAGGGTGTTCTCTCTGACCAATTTCCTGTATGCTTCTGCTGCTCTGTCCCCCATGTTCATTTGATCGGTTGTTTTTTCCAGGGTATCGTTTAGATCATTTCTGCACAGTCTTTGTCTGTTGACGGGTGTGTTAACAATCAGCGGAGAAAATGGAATGGATATTTCCACATTTTTGTACCTTGTGTCCAAGGCTACGTCTATTTTCAGCATTTTTTGAACGCTTTCAAGGAGAAAGATAGACACAACCATGAACACAAAGGCGCACAAAGTGTCTTTCTGTGTGAATTCGCGCTTTCTCAGAATGATAAGCGCTAGGCACACAACGGCAATAACCGTGGATATAATAACTGTAAGTATCATCCTGGTGGACGAAAGGGCAGTCATCCACACGGCATCCCACTCGCTAAACTCCCATATACTTATCCTTTCCAAGACTGCATACTTCAATAGGGCGTGTCTTACTGTGCTTCCCAGTGATTCGTATCCCATTGCGGTGCTGCATTGTGTTTCTTAAATTCTGTTTCATTTTCCGTGTTTCACATTTCATTATTTTTAATATTGCACACTCTGCACTTTATTCTTATTCGTGCAGGTGCACATTTCGCCATGATTTCAGACAGTTTCAGAATGACCAAATCATCAGGATCTCTTTCAAATCACTGAGTACATCACTAAATGAGAATAAAAACACACAGTACTAGATAGTGCATTGTACATGCGTATAGCGAAAGAATTTACTGCAGCAGATACATAGAACACATTCTGTAAGTACAGACAGTGTGTACATATGATGCACTCTGTAATTGTGGGCACTTGCATAGAGTGTGCTGCTATTTATCCTATCTGTACCAATAAATAAACGAAAAATCAAAATTATTGTGTGTTATTTTTACATCTGCTTTTCTGCTCTTTCCGCCATCTCTTTTTGTCCGTGTTTTATTTTTATTTTATTCGTGTTTGCTTATTTTTATTATCCATGCATGAAGAGTATGCTCTTTTCAAGATTCTAGTGGTAGGAAGCAGCGGTGTGGGGAAAACGTGTCTGCTGCTGCGGTACACAGACAGCATTTACAAGGAGACATATGGCACAACCATTGGAGTAGATTTTAAAATGAAAAATATTGAAATAGATGGAAAGATGGTTAAGCTGCAGCTGTGGGACACTGCGGGCCAAGAGAGATTCAGAACTATCACATCAAGCTACTACAGAAACGCAAACGGAATACTGCTGGTCTTTGACATCACTGATGCCGACAGTTTTAACGATCTAAAAGGGTGGATTAGCGAGATAAGAAACAACATCAGCAGCACCATAGTTATATCTGTGCTGTGCAACAAGATCGACTCAGAAAAAAACACGGTAACAGACGAAGAAATGGACAACTTCGTATCAAAGTATAAAACAGACACACTGCGCATAATCGGATACACCAAAGTGTCTGCCAAAACAGGAGAAGGCGTGTCCGAGGCCTTCAAAGAAATAGCTGAGCACATAATGAAGGAGTCTCCCCCTGAAAAAAGAAAAGAAAGAGTGAATATAGAAAGTGATGAAAGTGTACAGGGATGGTGTTGCATAGGATAATGGCTATTAGATAAAGTATTAGATAGAATGCTGAATGAACACTGCTAGCTATTGGATGATCTGTTTGGCACTCACTGTGCTGTTTTTTGATTTTTAGATGGAGTTTTAGCCACTAGATGAGATACTAGATGGATTTTCTTCTCACAAATTGATATTCTTATCTATTAAATGGGCTCCTGAATTCTCCACCAGATAGAGTGCTGAATGGATGAATGCTTAGTTATTTTATCAGGTGGTCTAGGCTATGGCCATAATCCTATCATAGATTCAATAAAATTCATTTGCATTTTAATTTATTTTTAATTCTATTTTTCATTTATTTTTTCATTTGCTAGTAAATCTTCTCCTGTCCTCATTAAATTCTCTGCAAATTAAATTTCTAATTAATTCCTTAATTACTCCTTCTACTCCCATATTGCTCTTCCTCCAGTGCTACATTCGATCGGTCTATTGCCTGCTTTATTGTTTTGCTCATCTTACCCATCTACTAGATCTCCCACCAATCCTCTTGCTACTACCCTGCACTCCTGCCACTCCTGCACTCTCTCGAATAAATGAACATAAATAAATAAAACATTGATGATTTGCTTTTTACTGATTTGTTAACTATCTGTACCTGCCTCGTATTTTCATTGCTAGCTGGATGTCTCGTGGCATGACTGTCACTCTTCTTCCGTGTATGGCGCAATCGTTTGCATCTTCAAATAGACCAATAATGAATGCTTCAGTGGCTTCCTGGAGGGATGCAAGAGCACTCCCCTGGAAACGGGAGTCTGACTTGAACTCCTGGCATATTCCTCTCACCATTCTCTGGAATGGCTGCTTTCTGATCAGCAACTCTGTGGACTTCTGGTATCTTCTGATTTCCTTCAGTGCTACGGTTCCTGCTCTGTATCTGTGCGGCCTTTTGATGCTTCCTCCTACTGCGGGGGTTGTGCTCTTCTTTGCTGCCTTGGTGGACAGTTGTTTTCTTGGTGCTTTTCCTCCGGTTGACTTTCTCGCTGTCTGCTTTGTTCTTGCCATTTTGCAGGGGTTGTTTTAGAAGAATCATAAATAAAAAATAAACAAAGGAAAGGATCCAGACCGAGAAAGAACCAATAGAAAGAAAGCATAGAACAAATAAACAATAAAACAAAAAGAAAAAGAAAATAGAAAGACTCTTTAATTTATTTTTTAATTTCGATATTCCAATTTTAATTTTAATAATCCAAAGAAAATTGAAAGCGGAAATGGCTTTTTCTGGGACTTGTTTGTAGTTGAGTATTTTTATTCCAGGTTTTACTTTAGTGAGAATAAGAGCGGGAAAGTACATGGACATTTAGCAACTATTCTGCACCTACAAACAAAGAGAAGTATAGTGAGGTAGTGAACAAGAGATAAGGTAGAAGAGCAGGCTAGTTATAAGGAGAGAAAGAAGGGATATAGCAGGATGGCAATAGAGCATCTAAGAATGCACTAATTCTATTGGCCACTGCAGTGCTGTCATTGGCTGTTTGGACGCGCATTCTCTTACAAGAGGATACACTTGGAGCGGTTTGGACAGGTGATGTACATGAGTTAATATGACTATATTAGGAAATATCCTCTGTATAGAAGGCAATATATCTACATTGGGAAATAGTGTACTAATATCTCTTGTGATATTTGATTCTCTCAATGGCTTTTTATTTTCTTTTTTATTTTCAAAATACTTCAGAGATAGGATAATGAACACTATTTTGTATGTTATTGCTTTCTTTGTTTTTGTTATTTTCATTTTCCCTTTTGTACTGATAGGCAGTAAAGCTCTTGTTCCATTCGAAAATCGTGAACTATTCCAAAATAATAGGAGACGATCTACGCGATGAGTCTCTTCTATAGGAAGGCGTTGGCAGCCTGCTAATAATAAAGAGTATATGTCTCATTCTGTTCTCTTTATCACTGTGATTTTTCTCTTATATTAACATACAAGAAATACTGTATCATGGGCATTAGTGCTCTGTGTCTATACTGTGCTAGAATACTACACTGCTGTGCATGAAGAGAATACTGCTACTTACTATGCTGTGTAGTATTGCTGACTGTTTTAATATGTTCCTATGAGACAGCATTGCCCTCTATGGCAATATTAAATGTATCTTGACAGCATCTTCGAATAGATTATTTCTCTTTTTGTTTTCTCTTTGCTTTGATATTTTATTGTGGTTTTGTCTTCTTTGTGTGCGATGTCTATTATATCTGTGAGCCGTATGGTTGTGACTCTGTACGGAAACGACTTGTTCTCTATTTGAATGGCAGCCGCGCTTATTCTTACTACCGACGGTATCTTAAACAGCGACACCTTGTGTTTTACCTCGTGTGACAGCACTTTCTCTTCTGCGGGCAGTATATTCTGCAGCGGGTCAGTGGCTAGCTCAGCAGTGCGAAGGGGGGCGGTGTGAGGAATGGTGGGGACGTGAGACACCTGCAGAGCGGAGGGCTTGCAGGGAGGGACAGGAATGGAGCGAAGGAATGTAAGAAGGGCCTTTCTTTCGTCGTTTTCAAGCATAAAATAAAATAAGCACAGAATTATTATGCAGAGGTATTTATTGCCAGCACTTGCTAAACAGTGCGTTTATATTACTCAGAGAATACTTGCTGCCTATTATTGGTACTACTTACTGTGCTCTGTACTCTTACTCACAATGCATTCTATGATATATTTTGTGTAGAATATAGTGACAGCGTTATCTGCACGCAGTGCAATATTTAGGTGCTCATCTAGGCTGTGCAGTATTCCTGTGGCTGTCTTTATTTCCTTGTTGTGCACATATCTCACGCACACCTCACTATTTAGCGACTGCACGAGGATCTGGTAAATATTCAGCATAGAGCAGAAAATAAAAATCAGCACTTACTTAGTGCACAGGGCACACTTAATGCGAGTGTCTGCCATTACTTGCCGCACACAGTCTATTGTTACTGATGCACACTCAGTACCACTGCATGCGCCGTATTATCATCATATCTACTACAAATTCTCGCACAAGTGTACTTACTGCTGGTATATACTGCACACTGCTCACTTACTAATGGGCACCTTCATGTCCACAAGGAAGGCAATGAATGGATCCATCTTTTTGTCTTCTATGAATATCTGTGCGCTCTCATCCCCCAGACTGAGCGTGTACTTGCTGCACACCTTATCGTATATTATAGACTTGGACGCGCTATTTAGTATGCTGTGCATGCTATTTACTGTCTCTCTGTCCATTCTTACAGGGCTCTGTGCTGCATATCCCGCCTCTGTGCCATTATCTGCCACGCTTTCTCTTCTATTTATTGGCAGTATTATTTTCATTTCTTTTTATGCCGGAGGTAATAATAATAATAGAAGGAATAAAAGAGGAAATAGCCCGCTATCTGTTCAAGAGCCTAAAGTATCTCTTCCAGCAAAGAAACCAGCTTGTTGCCTCCCTGGAGATGGAAGGCCTTTCCATTTCTCTTCTAAACCCAAATTACAACGGAATATCGCCGAACGAGCTGAAGTGCCGAGAGTGCTTCATAAAGATATCCAAGGCCAAGCGCATCATTCTTTTGAATGAAATAGAGCACAGGAGAGAAGAGTACTTCACAGCCGAGTACAGCACAGAGACAAAGTACGTTCTAGTCGTGCAGGAGCCAGGGGATGAGACAGGATATGCTGCACAGTATGCAGGAAATGAGGATGCAATGACAGCAAACAGTGCACACAGCATGGTAAGTACGGAGAATGAGCCAGTGAGCAGCACACAGAGCATACAAATAGGAGGGCATGTGTACAGACACTGCAAAAACTATAAGGAGAAGCTGCTGGTCCTTCTGTGCATGATAAAGAAGGCGATCATCAACTGCAACAAGCTAAGGATAGTGAACAAGCTCTTCCTTCTCACAAGATTCACCAGTCTGTGCGTAATAAATAGCGGATACTCTCTTTTCTTCACAGCAGATGCGCAGGCCCTGGAAGTTCTTAGAGCTCTTCTGCAGAGCATAAAGAGCAAGTATGTGCTGTTTCTGTTCTCAGGAATGTGTGCGGTAAATATCCTTCAGGCGCACGGCATCACGCAGATCATAAAAACAAAAAACAAAATAATAAACACAGCGATCAAGGGGCGAACCCAGAGCACTCCTGTACATATCACAGAAATAGAGAGCACCGACCCGCAGAGCATCCTAGCGGCAGTGGAGAGCATGGAAAAAGTCCTCCTAGTGGCAGATGTGCATACAATCAGGGCAGTTGTAAAATACGTGAAGAAAGAAGATGCAGATGTAAAGATAAGCCACACTACGCTAATAAAGCTGTCTGTACGAGGAACAGAGGTAACGGAAAGAAAATACGACGTTAAGTAAGGACTTATTATTTACTGCACAGTGTCCGCATAAAAGTGCAAAATAATATTTTATTTATTATGTACAGCATACAATATTCCAGCACATATAACAATAGATACGAGGTACTCAGCAAGGGCATCAGAGCGTACGGAGAAAGAGAGAGCTACAGATACACTGAGTATCTGATGGAAGGAGAAATCTTTCTTGTTGGCACTCTGGAGATAAGATACAATAAACAAAGGATACTAAGTAGCTACTCTAGTGCAAGCAGAAAAATAAACTACGAAAGCATTGTACAGGATAGAATAGACACTGTGCACAAAAAAAGAGCAGATGCTAACGATGAAAATATCCAGGACAGCGGCAGTAAGCTGGGCAGTGTGCAGGAGCACACGGAGTACTACCTGGAAAGCCCTGTCCTGGAAAGAGTGAAGGTCCTGATAGCCCCAGACACAAGCGAGTACTTAGTAGAGGGAATAGTCATAGGAGTGCTAGGAGAAAAAACAGCAGAGAACCACCTCGTAGCCAAAAGAATAATACACACCCTGGATGCAATAGACGCCACCCATCCCCACTGTAATCTACTAGTTACGCCGGAGTATAAAAGTAAAAAAGAGGATAAGGAAGAAGCAGTCATTGTTATTCCTACCTCAGAAAGCATTAAAGACGCAGCAGAGAATGCACCTATTATATTGCTAAGCTCTCCTCTGAACCATAGCCATTTTAATATTTCCAATAAAATTTATGCAGTCCCTGATGAAGCAGACTATCCGCAGTTCATGCTCCCGTGGTCAATCGATAGCACAGCAGTGCATGATAAGGTGGTAAGAAAAGGGGTAGAGATGGTAGCAAATCCCTCTGTTATAGAAATAGAAGGAATCAGAATAGGAATAGTGAACATTGAAAGCATCAGGTCAATAGTAGAGAATCACAACGGAAAATACAATATGGCAGACTATTTCAAGGCAATGTGCATCCTTCTAAAAAACAATCACCTGTCTCCACTCTCTCCTTTCTCTTGCCCATCCACTCCCATGGCCACAGATAGCCTAGTGATGGCTGAGCTACCAGATGTGCTGCTTCTTAAGTGCGAATACGATGGATTAGAGAGAGTAGTACTGAATGAAAAAGCTTTTCACCTGTTGCTAATCAAAGACAAAGCAGCGAAGATAGAAAAAGAGCAGAGATAAGTTATATGAGATAGAACAATAAAAATTAAAGTGTTTATGGTAGTTGGAATGTTTGGAGAGGGATAAAAATTTTACAGAATTGTTTATAGATAAGCACGTGTCCATCTGTACTGTTGATTTTATTAGGCTGTAGAATAGCCATCTTCCTAGCATTTTTTATTGTAAGCTAATTGGTTTACATCCTTATTGGTAGAAAGAGAATATGCTGGCCAAAGGTCTGCAGGAAGAAAAGCAAAAGAACTTCCAGTCAGTGTATTATGAAGTTTCTTTTACAGGATTATAGGAAACATTTTCAGCTGAACAAGCAACGTGATTTATTTACATCCTGGCTACTATGGCAATGTTTATTTTTATTTTATTCGAAAGTGCAGGCACGAATCAGAAAAAAGAAAGGGGAAGCTCTAACGGAAAAACTATAAATAAAAAAATGATGTTTTTAGCATGGAAAATCAGAAAAAGAAGAAAATAGTAAATGCGGCATGCATAGCACTTATTTTCTTTGCCACACAGTGCAGAGGAAGTGGAAATGCAGGTGGTGACGAAAGCTTATGGGATGCTATAGGCCAATGTATAGACGAAAATAATTTGCACGATGCAATAGACGGCCAACCAACTCCAGTCAATGCAGTAGGTGCTGGTGTCCCTGGGACATCTAGAAGTGAAGATGTAGTGATGGAAAGCAATGATAATGTGTTCTTTAATCCGTTATATGATTATGGTGTCCCTGGGCCATCTGACACTGATGGTGTAGTGATGATGGACTATGATGATGTGTTCTTTGATGATCTTGTGACAAGTGAGAATGAATATAATGCATGGAATCCACCAACAACTACAGAAGAATTTGGTGGTGTCTATGCAACACACCCACAACCTACAGAAAACTTTGGTGGTAGTAGAAATGCCTTTGATCCAGTGCATACTGTGCATAATCAACAAAATGAAGGAGCTAGAAGGGATGATGATGAAATCATTATCCTTGAACCAGGTGAATATAATACAGCCCAAAATAGAAATCCGTTTGCAGAACAACAGAGAATGGAAGCACAGTATATAGGGCAGCAAGGTGTAGGTATGAATGCATTTAATGTAGTAAATACTATGTCAGGGCCATCTAGCAGTGATAGTACAAATGCTATATGGGTTGCTAATCCATCTGAATCTACTTCAAATCGTACTGGGCATTGGGTTACGTATAGACCAAGTGCAAGAGGGCAACAGTATATAGGGCAGCAGGGTTTAGGGCAACAGCATATAGAACAGCAAGGTGTAAGTAGGATCCCTTCTACCCGAGAACAATCAGAAGATAATTTTACACCACCTGTAAAAATACAAAGAAGAGAAGACGGCATAGATGTATCCAACTCTCAGCGTATATTTGAGGATAACCTGGGACCATATAAACCGCTAACCCAGATAAATCAATCAAATAATCCTGTAAAAACATCAAGAACTCGAATAGAAAAACTTACCATTAAACAGTGGAATGAGTATAGATTGACTGATAAAAAAAGAGCAGGCCCTAAATCATGCCATCAAACAGTATATGCAGACAGTAAAAAAGAGTATGGTGGGTTAGATGCCTTTGCGGCCTTTAAAGCAAAAAGAGACGGCGAATATCAAAAAACAGCTAGAGAAGATATAGTAAAATTTTCTAATTTGATTGCTGATAAAATAGATCAGAATCCATTTTTGTACTTCAATGCATGCAGGTCTACACATATAGGCACAAAACAAAAAGATTATATGTGGATGATTGGTCTATTTGCTCATAATAATGAGGAAGATGAGAAATATAGAGAATTAGTAAGGGGTCTTAAAGGATATTACCCTGATGCGTATAAAGACCTGCTAGCATATATAAAAAAGCACAGACCGATGAGAGCTACCGAAGATTTGCTTCAAAATAAGCGAAATGAAACCTTGGGAGACATCTATATGCGGAGAAGCCTAGACTTAAACTCTGAAAGAGTGAAACATCAAGATAAAATTAGCCAGATAAATAGTAAGTATACTGCCCTAGCTTATGCTATGCGCATGATTCTAGCGCTTCCGGAAATACAGGAAGATTTCTCACAGATTGGCGAAGATTTTATAAAAGCCACCGAAATATACATAGATTCAACTAGAAATGCACATGCGCATAGTGTTCTGGTGTCTATATGTGTGCTGGCGAAGGAAAAGGAGCCGACAAAGAACATACAAAAAATAGAAAAAACATATGAAGATATATACACTGCCTTTAAGAGCATATACGAGAAGGGCGCGCAGAAAGAGCTAACAGTAGCCAAGTTTTATCGAGGCATACACATAATTCTTGCAAATTTCTATGTAAGAGAAACCGTTTTTGACTATAACAAATATGTTTTGCTAGGCAAATCAGCTATAAAACACCAAAAGAATGTTAAATGTGAGGCAACGCTAGTATCTCTGCCAGAAAGCTCTTCTAAACGGATCAGTAACCCTAAATATTCTTCAGAGCTGGATGACCCTAAAGATTCTTCAGAGCCGAGTGACCCTAAATATTCTTTAGATCTGAAAGTAAGACACATTTCACCTGATGTAGAAAAACACTATCATGTTTACTATGTGGACAATGAGTCCCACCAACTCAGAAAGCTATGCATGCCCATATATGTCGACGAAAATACTGGAGAAGAGAGCTACATACACACGATTAACGATATAACAGCACACATAATAGAATTATATGAAATAGGAAAAAATTCTAATGTTATATATCCGTTTAAAGTAAATAAAAAAACCAGAAAGTGGTCGCAAATTGAAGAAGAAGGCAAAAGCGAAACAGCAAAAGAATTAGTAGAATATGAGCTAGTGTTCTACCGCATTGATGAAGACCTAGCAAAAGTCGAATTTACATTTTCAAAGTTCATTCCTCGAAAGGAAAACGATACGAAAAACATCCGCGTACCACTGTTCCTTATGCATTTGATGCAGGATGCAGTGCATATAGGACCTTTTATTACACAAGAAGAGCTTAGAAAGATAAATCTGCTAAAAATTAAAGGAATTATTGCTCCCAACTTGTATAAGTTTAATGAAGACTATGGTACAGAAAAATACTCAAGCTTACATAAATACTACAGCAATCTGTACATACCGACCAATGAAGAAAAGAAAGAAACCTTTGACTGCTATGTCATGGAGTATAAGTCTGAAAAAGAGGGAGAAGCTATCAAGGTTGAATGGACAGTGGATATGACGAAAGGGGTATTTGCATACACAAGCTGTTTTCTGGATAAAAAGTTCAAAGAAAAAGAAAACTCGAAAAAGCTATTAAAATTTATTAACGTACTGGAGTCAAGAGAGTACAACAAAGATAGCAATCTGCAGAGTATTTGGCTGAAAAATGGCAATGTAACAGACAGCAAATCAGAAAATCAAGCAGAGAAAATATATATTTGGGAGGTAGATAGTAAGACCTATGGGAAGCCAATAAGAAGTGAGGAAACAGTCAGAAAAGAGCATGAAGCTGCAGAAAAAGTTTTGAATATTAAAACTGAAGAATGTAATATTCAGGAAAGTAAAGTAGTAGCTGCAATGAGATCATGTAATGATGATAGAGTAAATGAAGAGAAAAGAAAAAAAAATAAGAAATGTGTTGAAAGACGTAATGCAGAGAAAAAACTAGAGTCTTTGAGCGAAGAACTAAAGAAAGTCTTCTCTAAAAAGCCAGATGAAGAGGTGCAGCTTATTGTATTCCGGAATGTAAATACAAGTAAGTCCAATCTAGGAGCACACAATGAAATTCTTGATGTCTTAATTACATATTATTACTAACAAAGGCAAAAACTATGAAGAATAAATAGAGTTTGATTAAATTAATTCTTACTATTGTTGTTTTTATCTTTTATGATTTTAGCATAGTCCGCTAAAGTTCATAAATGCACATGAACTGGAAGATTACCAGCTTATCACAAGTCTTTTTACATCACAAGAGAATAGAACACAGGCTAGCAGTACTATTCAATATATACATATACGTATAATTCTTTTAATTGATTTGGATTTATTATGAAGTGTACAACTTAGAATGAAAATAAAATGAAAAAGAAAATAAATACTAAGTGTATATGAATATGTAGAATTTTACTTTTTATTTTTATTTTTAGGTAGACTACACAGACACACTCTAGCTCATAAGACTTAAACGGCCAATTGAAATCAAATAGCCAACAAGAAGAGAAAATCTTCTCGTCATAGATAGAATGGTGTACGCAAACACAGCGTAAGTATTGTAAGTGGAAAACATAAAAGATTTGATGATAAAGCTCCATCACTTATCTTGAGCTTGTACAAATACTATCTAGCAGACAGCTGCATACTACTTGTAGATGTACATAAACAAGAATGCAAAGCTACTTCAACAAAACTGCATGCACAGTCAGGCCACATAAAAAGCAAGGCCCCAACTGAAAAATATAAATAAATAAAATGATATTTTTAATATGAAAAATTGGAAAATAAGGAAACTGCTAGATGTGGTAAGTATAGCGCATGTTTTCTTTATCGAAAAGTGCGGAGGAAGTAGAAATGCTCTTTCGTATGGGGATATAGCAGTGGAGAAGAAGGGCTTAGATCTTGATTGGTTTGTGCCAGATATGAGAGGTAGTAATATATGGAACCTGTCAAAATCGATAGAAGAGTTCAGGGATACATACACTCTGCCTCTGCTGCCCACAGAAGAGAATGCTGCATCTGCCATCCTTTCTACCTGTATCAAGACAAATAATGGCGCTAAACCAAATATAGGAGAAAAAAGAAGAGCAGAAAGTACGAGTGACTCCGACGCATCCAACTCTCAGCCAGCGCGAAAGAATAGGAAAAAAGAAGTGGCTCAAAACCAGCATCCGCAAATGCCTAAAAGCCCATCCAAGAAAGGAGAAAAAATAGAGAACTTCAACATCAAGCTATGGAACACGATAAGACTCACAAACAAAAGAAGGTCAAATTACAACACACACCACCAAACAGTGTACAGATTTAATTTTTATAACTTTTGTGACTACATGGCCTACGAAATCATGAAGGACTCCTACCAACAAAAGATCAGAAAAAGCATAAAAAACTTCTCTGAAAAAATTGCCTTTCTAATAGAACGGAATGCGCTATGGTGCTTCATTGCAGGAAGAAGCACGAACGTAATCACAAAAAACAAAGATCTCTTGGGGCTGCAAAGTCTGTTTAAAGATGAGAAAGATGCGTGCAGAAAATTGGTGGAGGGTTTCAAGGGATACTATCCCGGTGTGTTCAAAGACATGCTAGCATATATGGAAAAGCACAAGCCGCTGAGAGCTATAAAAAGCTTCCCAACAACTGTGTGGGATGAAAAGCTGGGTGATATCTATATGCGGAAAAACCTGGACTTAAACTATGGGGTGCTGGAAGACCAGAAAAAGATCAGCCAGATAGACGAAAAGTATTCTGCACTAGCCTATGCAGTGCACATGGTTCTTGCGCTCCCTGAAATGCACCAAGACTTTTTCTGGGTTGGCATAGACCACATACAAAATAGCAAAATATTCCAAGACTCTTTTAGAAATAAACAGGCCCAACAGGTTCTGCTGTCTCTATGCACATTGGCAAGAGAGCCTTCAGATGATCCCACAAAAAAAGAAAATGAGTATAAAAATATTCACATAGCTCTCCAGAATGTATATGCGAAAGATGCACAGCATAAGCCAACAGTGTTTGAGCTGTATAGAGATATATACATGATTCTTGCAGATTTCTATGAGAACGCAGCAGTCTTCGATAGTAAAAGCTACGTCTTGTTGGGCAAGTGTGTTATAAAACATCAAAGATATGTTAGATACGAGATGATCTATGGATTTGAGCCAGATAGCTCTTCTATACAGAACTACGGATACACATATTCATTTGAGATAGATAGATGGGATGTTTCCCCAGATGTAAAACCGCACTATCACGTGTTCTATGTGGACAACACAATGCATCAGCTCAGAAGAGTGTGCATGCCCATATACAAAAAAGACGGCAGCAATGAAGAGCACTATTTACACACAGTTGATGGCATAGTAGAGTATATAAAAAAGCTGTATGAAATAGAGACAGACATTGTGCACCCATTCAAAGTAAGAAAAAGAACGAAAGAATGGTCGTACATCAGGAAAGATGAAAGAAAGCTGACAGCAAAAGAACTAGCAGCATACGAGCTAGTGTTCTACCGCATTGACGAAGATTTAGAAAAAACAAAGTTTACATTTGCAGAGTTTAGGCCTTTTATCCAGCAAAGCAAGAATACCATTAGAATACCGCTGTTTCTTACGCGTTTGATGGTGGATGCAGTGGACTTAGGCCCTTTTGTTAAGGAGAATGCGCATGCAGAGATAGATGCAGAAATAGAGCTTGATCGCATGGTTCCCAATGTGTACACGTTTGACAGTAAGTACAAAAAGAAGGAATACTCGAATTTGCACAAATACTACAGCAATTTATACATCCTACCAGATGAAGAGAAGAGGGAAAATCTTGATTGCTACATCATGGATTATCAAGCAAGCGAAGAAGGAAAGATCATCAAAGCAGCGTGGAGTGTGGATATAACAAAGGGCGTAAATGTGTATACACACTGTGCACCGAGTGAAAAGTTCAGAGGGAAAGAAAATTTAGGAAAGCTTAATCATTTTATCAATGTAATAGGCTCGAGGAAGCATAGAAATGACAGCACTCTGCAGGGCATCTGGCTAAGAAATAATAATACAGGAGACAGAAAGACAAAAAGCCAGGCAGAGAAAATCTACACGTGGATAGTGAAAGACCAGGGAGATAAGATCAAGAAGGACAAAGATGAAGTTATGGAAAAAATAAGAGAAGCAGATAAGAAGTTTAGAGAAGCAGATGAAAGATACAGAAAAGCAAGCGAAAAGCTAGATGCTTTAAAGATATCAGGTAATAAAAAGGAGATAGCAGAGGAAGCAGGCGAAAAGAAGGCAGCATCTGATGCAAAATCCTATATGAAGAGAAGCTTAGAAGCTTTATCGAAAGAGCTGGATGAAGCAGTGTCTGAAAAGCCTGACAAGCACGTAGAGCTTATAGTGTTCCAAAATGTGAACAGCAGCAAGTCCAGCTTAGGAGCACACAACGAAGTTCTCGATGTTTTGATTTCGCGCTATAACCAGTAAAAGGAGACCTGAAGAGTGAATAGAGTTTGATTGAACCAATGCTTAGTATTACTTTTCATGTCTCAAAAGAATAAACAGGAATAAGCAATGTTGTCTACATAAATATTTTAATTGCTTAGTTGTGTTGTAGAGTGTAATATACATGCACTTTATGTTCGAATAAATGGAAATAAAAAAGAAAATAAAAGCTACATGTGTGTCTGTAGGTACAATTTTATTTTTATTTTTTCAATGTACTAATTCTGCTAGAGGATTATTATGCTCATATTTACCAGCTAAATTTAAAACACGTATTAATAGTCAGCTGCATGTGTGCAAATATCTTTTTTTGTTTATAGTTATATGATTCTTTTACAAACATAAACTAAGAATGCAGATTTGTTTGTTTACACACATCTATTCTCTGATTAAAAAACAAACATTTCAATCTTCAAAACAAACAAAAACAGCTATATAAAGAGAACAAAAAAGCATCTGTGCATGCGAATGGAAACACTTGCTATATTGATACTCAATCTGTTCCAATACAGCGCGTCATCAAATGCAGAGGGCCAGCAGAACACAAACCCATCTTCAAGATCATATTCGAATGAATCGTATACAGGCTTAACAACAGAAAGATCTGTTGATTTCACAATCTTTAGCGGATATTATACATCTCCTGAAGAACGAGCAGAAAACGCAAGACTTTTGTCTCAAGGATTACAAAGAGAGAATCGAGTTTATTTCAGCATTGATAGTGCACGTGAATTTGAGAATAGAAATAATCCCCAAGCTATAGAAGCTGCTGTCTATAGTAGCACGAGGGGCGCAGAGGATGAGCATATATGTGAATCTTTAGAATCTTTAAATAACATGCAGTTTGACGATAGTTCACAGTATAGCGACACACCTCCATTGACTCCGCCAAGAAATGAAAGTTTGTCACAAAATAGGTCTGATGTTGGCAGTATTGCCTTGAAAAACAGTAAAATGCTATCAACAGAAAATAGCATTGAATATAAGCCTGTTCCGGGATCAATACTATTGGAATATAGAGAAATAGAAAAAGAAAAAATGAAACAAATACACATAAAAATGTCTGATGGACATAAATCCTATAGTGTCGATATTTCTGACATAGAGTGTTTAGTAGAAATAGTCAGTAAAATAATTATATGCGATAAAGCGAAGGAAACAGATAATTGTAAGAAAAATGGAAATAAAGAGAAAGAGGTTGCTAAAAACAAGCAGTACTTTCTCGTTCTTGATGATCTAGTCTATTTTGACGATTTAGAAGACAGAGTTATAGAAAACGTGAAGAACATAAAGATAGCTGAGTCTGTGAACGTTTTTGTACCAAATATGTGCAAACATTCTTTTGAAAAATGCAACGTAGTTTCTCTTATCGAGCCATTTTTTAGCGTATTGAGAATAATTGTTGGAGACTGCGGGTGTGGGATTAATAATTTTGAATGCAGTTTAAATAACACACCATTTGAGATGAGAACTATAAACAACAAAAGAAAAGAGAGAGGAGAAGGAAGGCCTATAAAAATAACATATATAAGCTATCCTGCTTCGGATGCATTTAATTTATTTCGATACCTATCCAAAAACATAAATACATACATTTACTATCTCCATGTAAATCTAGAAGACGAAATGCTTATACAGCTTTTAAATAAAATGTATCTGCCAGAAGAAAGACAAAAGCGAAAAACTAATAGCACAACCAGCACTGCGCCTATAGGATACTTGCAGGTTACGAATCTAGTAATTCACATAAAAAAGAAAGAGTTTGTTAAAAATAAAGATAAAAACACTCATAAAGAAGAGGGTAAAAATAAAGACAACACAAAAAATAGCGAGCTCAAGAGTCTAGAAGACTGGATTTGCAAATATAAAAAAAACATGCAAACTGGAAATATAGATAGGATAAAAACGATTAGCATGGTGTTTAGAAAGTTTAGCTATCTAGAAAAGGAACATATAGCTTTATTCTTGAACATGGCTGTACAGGATTTTCTTACAGAAGTTAGGATAGAGTATGCCATAAAATTAGAAAATGTTAAAGATAAGTCAATAGAAGCCAAGGCTGATGAGATTCTGCAGATAGTAAAGAGTGCGGCAAAAAACTTGATGAGTAAAGATGAGCTTATCAAGAAAGAAGAGCCTAATAGTGACGAAAGTCCAGTAAACAACATCGGAGTATGTTTCAAGATGTTTAAATTTGACAAGGCCAGCGACAGGAATATGTGTGATTTAAAACGCTTTTCTTTAGATTTTATCATTAAATCAAAAGAAGGATCTTTTTCGATTAAGAAAAGCAGATGTACTGAAAAATCAAAGCTTCCGTCATATATATGGATTAATATAGAGATATATCCAGACAAGAATGCTTCTAGTGGTGCTAAAATAGTCCAAGAAAGTCAGAGAAGTTTAGAACATAGCTATAGGCTGGCAGAGCATTTTGCAAGAACCCATCCTATGATTTACAGACCCTTCAACCAGCAACGCCTTGATAACAAATAGAATAAATATCTGCAGCATGAGAAGTTCAAGCAACAAAAAGTTTTTCATTCTTTTTACAGCTGCTAGCCAAACAACCCTGTCTAAAGTGGCTCTGTTATTTATTTATACAAAAATTTAAAACACAAAATGTTTTTATGTTTGCAAATGTCTACACAAATAGGCTAATTATCAGCGCAAGAGACGTTCCAGCTATAAAAAAGATTGTAGTAAAGCACAGTCTGCAAACAGAGGAAATAAACAGCGAATACACAATAATACGAATAAAAGGATCGCAGGAATACATACAAATACTAGTACATAGCATAAAGATGGCTGTAAAAGAGACACAGCAATAGTCTCACAGCTATGCTCGGAGTGTATGTACTATAGACACATTTTACCAGTGGAAATACAGCAAATAAAAGATAAAAACAGAAAAAGAAACAGAACACTTTGCAAATAAATGGTAGAAGTAAAAACATTTATCTCTTATGCTGATATTTATTGAACCATGCAGCTCTTTTTGCAGCTATGTCTTCTACACTTTTTCACTGCTAACATTGCAGTTTACAACGATATCTGAAAACAGACATTCTGCTGCATTTGTTATTTCCGCATCAAAAAAAGATACAGAAAGAATCAGTCAGTAAGAAAAACTCTATTCATACACCAACACACAACAGATCAGTCTTATTCAGCTGCTACTATCAGCATCCATCAGCTATATCTATAAATTCTACTTTATAAAAACAACACGATCGAATCCACTATTAAATCTATCCATTGGACAACTGCTGTACTATTCTTTGCTATACCATTCCGTTTATTTACACTGGAATATCCTATTTTCTGTTTCTATCTTCTCTTTTATACTGCTTACTATCTCCGAGACTATACCGATAATCACTGAGCTGTTATCTACTCCTTCTGTTCTTCTCTTTTCCCTAAGACCCTCTCTACTTTCTATTTTCTCTATTTTCTCCTCCAGACTTTTTCTTTTCTCTTTTTCCTCTTTCAGCTCTTCTTTCAGCTTTTTATTTTCTTTCACCATCACTTCCAGCTCTCTTTGTATTTCCATGTTCTCGTTGATGAGCTCAGAGACTGCCTTGCTGTTGTGCGGTATTTCCTCCACTTCTGTTGTGTTTATTATCCCCGTCTGGTTGTAGTCCTGTGTTTTGTACGGCCGCACGTCTCTGTACTCTCTGAACACGCCGTGTCTCGGTTTGCACTCAAAATACACGCGCCCTGCTCTGCTTCCATTGTTCTCTCCATTGGATGTGTCCAGCTCTACGCCCAAGGTGCTGTGTTTCTTGGTGCCCACGCGCCCTACGTATCTAACAGTGCCTGTGTATATTCTGTCTACTACAACTCTGTCTCCAATTCGAAATGCTTCTTCACTTTTTGCTTGTTCCTGCTGGAGAGTGAGGCTTTTCATCTGCTTCTTAAAATATTCGCATTTCTTTATTTTTAATTTAATTTTGCACGTCATGCACATCCAGGAAGCGGCTTTAGAAGTGAAGAGGGGATGCATAAGCAAAGCATTCAAGAACAGCAAAGACACAGCGAGCCACGAAGAAATAATCGTAAGAATAGTTAGCATTACAACACCAGACGACTCAATCTCTCAACACAAGATAAGAATAGTGGTAACAGACGATAGCATAGTGCAGGAGTGTCTGCTCTCTTCAAAGTATCTCGAGAGCGTAAAAGAGAAAAAGATATCAGAGCAGGACATAATAAAAATAGGAGGAAGAACGATAGGAACATACGCAGCAAAGGCAATTATCTACATAAAAGAGATAGAAGAGATACACAGGAGCAGCAGCATGGGATCAAACACATGGGAGAGCATAGGAGCCAGCCCTTCGAAAATTCAAAAACGGAAAACAGATGACGTAACGGGCACTCCGATGAAAGAAGCAAAGAAGGAAGTAAAAACAATAAAAGAGCTAAACCCCTTCCAGAACGCATCTTGGTGCATACGGGTGAAAGTAATAAACAAGTCGCCGATAAGAGAGTACACCCGCGATGGAAAAGCAGGAAAGGTGTTTAACCTGGTGGTGTCAGATGGGGAGACAAAGTGCGCCATTGTGTTCTTTACAGAGACTGTCGACACGTTCTTTGAGAAGGTTCAGATATACAAAACATACGAAATATCAGGAGGCGTGCTGAAGCTAGCAAACAAAAGATTTAATGAAGACGTGCACGACTACGAAATCATCGCGGACAAGACGTTCTCTGTGACCCTTGCAGCAGAAGTAGAGAACGCCGTGAGAATGCCGAAAATGCTTGCAAAAGTATCGATGCTCAGAGACAAAGTGAATGAAACGGTGAATATGCTGGTGGCAGTCGTATCTGTGGGTGACGTAGAAACAGTTATAAGAAGAAAGGACAACACGCCAATGAAGAAAAGAACACTCAGAGTAACAGACGAGTCAGAGCACACAGTCCCCTTTATCCTGTGGGAGGACACAGCCGAAATGGCCTGTGCCCCAGGGGACATCATTCTGCTGGAGGGCGTGCGCGTGTCTGAGTACCAAAACGACCCGCAGATAAGCCTGACCAGGGACGGGATTCTTTCCTTCAACCCCGAGCTGCCAGAAGTGTTCAGGCTCCGTGGATGGTACAACAGAAACCAGGACAAAATGGAGAAAGATGTAAAATCAGACAGAAGCGAAGGAAAAAACAGAAACAAAAGAATAGCAAAGATCGAAGACGTAAAAGCAGAAGCAATGGAGTATGCAACCGTCATGTGCACCATCCTCTTCCTGTCAGAGAAGGGGATATTCTACACCTCGTGTCCTAACGATGGATGCAACAAAAAGGTGGACTATGACCTGGCATCACCAGACTCCTGCTACTGCAACAAATGTGCAATGTCCTTTGAGAAGTGCAACTACTGCTACAGCGCAAATATTTCAATCGCAGACAACACGTCATCGATATGGGTCTCTTTGTTCAATGAAACAGCCACTGTGCTGTTCAAAGGAGTGGAGGCCGCAGAGCTGTTCGACATTTCGGTGGAAGACAACGACAGATACCAGGAGATGGTGGGAGGTGTCCAGGGAATGGACGTGGTAATGACAATACGCGGTAAAGAATCGATGTACAACGGAGAGGCAAAGATGAGATACAACGCAGTGTCTATTAAGGAGGTAGACTACCTCGAAGAGTCGCGAAACATTCTCCAATATCTGCAGACTGTGAAAGCATAGCACAAAGCAGCACCAAAGTGATAAATAAAAAATAACTAACCAAAAGAAGAAAGACTCCAAAAGACGCAAAAATAGCAGAGATATTTGTTATTATACCTTCTGTAATGAGAGTAAAAATAGCTGCTATTCTCTGGCTATCCTGCTGTTTCAATAAACTTCCTCTTTAGTTTTATCTAGCACAACAAGAAATAAATCATATTGGTGTTTATTGTATGCTCTTCCTAGAGCGCTCCGAATGTCACATCGTATCTCGTTCTTTTTGTTTTGTTTTTTGTGTATCTTTTTGTCTTCATGGAGAAGTACGCTGTGATTATCACCAGAGTAAAAAGAATCGTAAGAATAACAGGGATAGCAATGGGCCAATAGGCGTTTGCATTCAAGTACAAAGAGTTCCGAATGTGGTTGTTTGTTACCTCCATCATAAGCTCAGAGTTAGGAACTATCTTGTCCTGTGCTATTCCCATCCGGTATTTTTCGTTTGGAACCCGAGAGTGCAGAGAACTGATAAATACGTTCGTGCGCCCAAGACCCAGCACTGTCACAGGCGACTGCATCGTGACATATCCGCTCTGGGCGGGATACGACCCAACGATCACCCGCCCTGTTTCTGTTATTCTGCACGCATAGCTTGCGCCAATCGCAGGAACATGCGAGCCTTTTTCTCTTTCTATTTTTGTAGATATGCTGAGATAGTATCCAGAGATATCCGATGTATTTCTGTAAATAAATAAAGTGCTGGAAGAGTCAACCAATGAGCTAGCAAGAACATTCCACACGCCCTTATCCTCCCTGTAGAATGCCGCCATTTTCACTTTCCCTGGCAGCTCATCAAAAGCGTCTTCGTGCGTAAATCCAGTGCCTCCTTCATTCAGAAAAAGCGAAGGCTGGAATGATGGTGCATTGTTTTTCTGCGCAAGCACTATGATGTCTGGGTATGTATTGCTATTTATGTCCAGCACACTGGGGAACACAGGGCCATTTGAGTCGTACAATTTAAACTCACTGATGTCCTCGATATTATACGTTATTTTATCCTCTGCGCTGTACCCTGATTGGCTACTGGCCTTCATTATGTCTGATTTAAATAGGCACGGAATGCTCTGACTGTTTTTATCGCGCGTAAAAAGCGGTGTGGATGTCTGGCTGCCATTTGTGCAGTATGCTGGGCGCATATTCGGTATGATATTTATGCTCGGCTGATCATTCGAGAGATACAGAATGTCCATGGCGCCAGTGCCTGTGAAATCACCGAACACAAACGGCCCCGAGCTCTCATCGCTCATATCAAGAGAGCCTGTAAGAGTGTACTCGCCGTTGTTCGTGCTCCACACTTCCACTGTTCTTTTTCCGTTTTTTACCGTATCCAGGACTAGATCAGCTATGCCATTTCCGCTTACGTCTACAAATCCTGACGAGTGGTTGTTTCTTAGGACTCCAAACGGCTCTTTGCTGCTGTACTTTACATTCTCAGCTATGTCCAGGAAAAATGTCTCTCCGTCTTTCTGTACAAATAGGGCTGGGTCCAGGTCTTTGTGCGTGATCAGAAAAGGCATGGAGTCAGAGATGCCTAGGCTAAGAGTGTGTCCTGTCTCATCTATTTTAGTGATGCTGTACTGGACCTTCTCCTCTCTCTGGCTATTTTTTGTTTTTATTTTTACGTGCTGCTGGACTCCTTTATGCTCATTTTCCGTCTTTGCGCCTGCAATCCTTGAAACGGCAATGTACTCTCTCTTTTTCTCTCTGTTTATTATGTCTATGGACACAATGTAGTCTACCACGATGGGAGTGTCTATCCTGTGCCGCACTGTGTACTCGTCCTTCTCTCGGGCGACAACTACTATTTGTCTCCTCTCGTGGTTTGTGCCCACGATTTCCACCTTTCTCTTCTCGTTGTCTGTGATGTATCCGAGGGGGATGAAATCAGAGGAAATTGCAGAATAATTTTGAAATTCAACAAACTCTTCTTTGCTCTTCTTCCATGGCCACATTATTTATTTCAAATTGCTACTATTTATGGAGATGTAAATATTTTTACATGGCAAAGAAAGAAAAGACAAAAGAGCAAATAAAGCCAAAGGAAGCAAAGAAACTCGTTGCAGACCAGATGTTCGGCATGAAGAACAAGGGAAAGAGCGCAAAGCTGAAGAAGCTCGCATCTTCGCTCGAGGCGTCGTATCTCAAGGGAAAGCCGCAGAAAGAGGAAAAGAAGGCGGAGGAGCCGGTGTATGAAGTGTACGAGGTGCTGCAGAAGGTGCCAGTGGGCGCAGACCCTGCGAATATTCTGTGCGTGAATTTCAAAACAAACAAAAAGTGCTCAAAAGGAGAAAACTGCAAGTTCAGCCACGACGTAAATAGGAAACAGAGCTCTCCAGTGGTGGCACAGGAGCAGAAAAAAGAGAAAGAGGCAGAGAAACAGGAGAAGCCTGTGTGTAAGCATTACATTGACGCACTAAAAACGGGAAAACACAACCCCAAATGGGTGTGTCCGAATGGAAATGCGTGCTCAGGTAAGCACTCGCCCCCAGAGGGATACATTCTGAGAGAAGAGGCAGAGGAGATAGACTCAATCACACAGGAAGAGATGCTGGAAGAGAAGAGAGCCAATCTCCCAAAGATCCACACGAAAATGACGGAAGAGATCTACAAACAGTGGAAGGAGAAGAGAGAAAGAATGAAGATAGAGCAGAAACAGGAAGAAGAGAAGGTAAGAGAAGGAAACATCCGGCTGGGCAAGCTTCTTCCGTCAGGCAGAGACCTGTTCGTTTACAACCCAAAGATATTCATAGACGACGAAGAAGCAATGGAGTACGATTATAACGCAAGAGAGGAAGAAGTAGAGAGCGATGAAGAGATGGCAGAGCAAATGAAAGAAGGCTTAGTTATTAATAAATAAAACAGTCGACAATAAACCAATCAATTCTATTGTTCATATAATCAGTTGCTCTGCAGTTTGTTCTATTTTTATTTTTGCAGCCCAATGGATAAATACAATTCAGAAGAGAATG